ACACACACACACACACACACACACACAAATTGTACATATATGATACTGACAATCAAATTCCAACAAAAAGGAATTTTTAATGATAAATTCCGTTTTGCTTTTACAAAATTTTTATGTAAAATTTAATATCACGAAGATGTACAAAGATAATTTGAAAATTTGTTATAAACAATCACGATTTTCCAAATTCGCTTTCGTGGAAGAGTAAGGTAATAGATAGAAGAGAGTAGTCTAAATTGGACCTATTTGCAGTTTTTGCTCTCTATAAGGTGTAAATAAAGTCCGATCGTAAAATCGAAGGCGCCATTGGAAAGATCATTTGATTCCCTTCATTTTTGCTTTAGACCATTTGGACGTATCTCTCACCTGTGTTGAACTGTAATGGAAAATGTAAAAACGCTTTTTCCGGTCCGATTTGGAACCAATGGTTCCAAATCGGACCATCCCCTGGTTCGAATCGAAAACTTTTATTTTTATGGATTTTTAGATAAAATTTTTTAATATTTTAATGTATTTTTCTTAGTATTGAGTAAAAACGAGCAATTTGATAGTCCAAGAAAAACATTTTTTCGGAAAAAGAAATTACTGACTGTTTATATTATAAGAATTGAAATTAATAAAACTCGACTAATTTGAGTCTGATGACTCATGATATTTTACTGATTTAATTGCTTGGATCAGATCTGATCAGCAGTTGATCACCAGTATTACAACCAGGCCTATAAGTTATTCACTGTACTGTCCGATTTGGACACGGGTCTTTTCGAACTTTAGAACAAATTTTACAATAAACCGCAAAAGTGATCACAAAATGCTTAATATTTTAACAAAAGTGATAACAAAATGCTTAATATTTTTGAATTCTACACTCTTTAATTATCTTAAATCAATTACTTTTCAAATTTTTAACACCTTTTAAATAATGATTTACAAGGATTTTCTTTTTTAAAAAAATTTTTCGCACTGTGGTTGAAAATACATATTTGCGTCTATGAATGTTATTATGACAGAGAACTGTCATACTGCTATCACATGTTCGGTGTCTTATAAGGACTTTACATTATAAATAGTACGCAAATCTACTTAACCGTATTCATTTAAATTAAAAAGGTCCTATTTGGAATACGGGAGGTCCGATTTAGACCACTCTCCCCTATATATTACACCACAAATTGGCATTGGAATCTATACAAGTTAAAAAAGGACATAAGATCTATTCTTTTTAGCTAAAGTTCTTGCACGGTTCATCTTTCTTCCTTTTCCCTCCATGTTGGAACCAACCGTGCAAAAAGTTCAACTAAAAGAAACAGGCCTATATACACTCCTGCAATCCATTTCTACCAATGTAGATGTAAAATAACTTAAATTTATTCTCGATTTAAAGTTTATCTTTTTCTAATTCTTACAAGTAGAAACGGATGAAAAGTAAGTTGAACCGAAATTAAAATCTACATTGATAAAAGTAGACATCGCGGTTTTTCACGACGGCCTCACGCGCAGTTAATTGTGTGTCATCATACTTACACAAAATTGAATTCTTCGATTATTTTAGCAAAATTTTTTCAAATTACACCTTGCTTTTTGCATTTGTTTCTCGTACACCTTCTTCACTTGCAACTCTGATCCTGTTTGTGATCCTTCTTTTTCTCTTTCTGACATATGCATTTGATAACTTTAAAGTTAAAATTTACATACATTATAATAGATAATAAAGTTTGATTTGTTTCTTTTGTTACGTTATTTAGAAATTATCTGTTTTTCTATTGAGAAAAAGCAAATGTATTATATTATCCCTTAATGTACATAATTAACCTTGAAATATATCGGACATATAAACGGCATTATTGAGTGAGATTGTTCTAGAGACTGCTCTAGAAGGTCTCCATCCATATCGTCGATCCTTGGACGCTCGCGCGCGCGCATATACAGTACAGCCACGTATTATATCTTATCTATTATTCACACATAAACTATTTTTGCAGGACTAGATCGTTCAGAACTTTATTATATTATATGTATACATACAATTTTAGCGCAATTATTGACTGTATAATTTCGATATTGAAAAGTTTAAAAAAATATTATTGACTTGTTATGCATACATATACATATATGTATGTACGAATTATGTTATAATTATACGATGCTGATTTTATTTATACATTAATGTAATATGTTTCCACACGTTTACATGTATTACATTAATTTGTTCGAAGATTACGTAGATACATATTTCCAGTTAAGTACAAGTCTATTTGTGTTTAGATTGGATTCAATTTCAATGACAAATCGCGATTTCTGCAACCATTTCGGTCAATCGTGTGCAATAAAATGTTATCACAATATCATTGTACAATTCTTTCTTCAAATTGTATTTTCTTCATTTTCCGAATATTGTCTCAATTAAAGGTCAAATGAAAATGTTTGTAATAGGTCTGTTTTTTTTTAAATTAAACTAGTGTAGAACTTTTTATACTTAAAGTGAAATATATTATATGTAAATGCATTCCTTTTTATATCTTGATGCAAAACTTATTATATATTCTCCGAAATTTTTTTCAACTGCGATCCTTATTATTATATATATTCTGTATATATTAGAAGAAATCGATTACTCAAAATTAAATTAAATTAAAAACTAAAATTAATGAAAAATTAAACATTTTTGTATCAAGAAAAGAGTTGCGTAAAAGGTGTAGTTGCAATGCTTTTATAGAGATGGATATTCTAATTTTCTCTTGTACTTATATACAGAGTGTCCCAGAATGACCGCCAAATATTTCGTGCGCAGGTAGAGCGGACTCAATTAAAGTAAGTCGAAAAATCCTTTACACACACCATTTTGCAGTTTTTGCAATAGTTAACAAGATATGTTAATTACTAAAAATTGCTGAATATATATTGGTATATTCAATAATTTTTTACTCAATAAAGTACTGTCAACTTTACAGACAAATAGCAATAAGAGACAAAATTATTTATTTTCTTCTAGAGCTCTAAGAATTTTTGCAGAATTTTTTATCAACTTTTTAGTATCTACTGCATTTTCTTATTGGCAATTATATTTTTCCAACGTGAGAAAATGCGGTACTAAAAAATTCTAAAAAAATTTTGAAAACTCAAAACTATGAGAAGTAAATAAACAATTTTTGTCTCTTACTGTTTTTCTATAAAGTTAATATGTAATTATAAGTAAAAAATTATTAAGACCTATAATATTCGCGGCGATTTTTTGTAATTAATATCTTGTCAACTATTGCGAAAATTGCAAAATGGTAGAGGACTTTTCGACTTATTGTTAGTTTAGTCCGCTCTACCCGCGCACGAAATATTTGGCCATCATTCTGGAACACCCTGTATAGGTAGTCACACCTATTTGTACTCGTACTCATACCGTAACTTTACATTATTATGAAAAATGTGTGTGACTATCTCGTATATTTATTTTTATGTAAATGTGTTATACATTCTTTTTTTAAAGAATACAAAACAATTTTGGAATATTTTTTCAAGGGCATGGATTGTTTCTTGTCTTGCAGGTGACACCTATGTCGACAAAATTGCTGATCAGGACCAAGATAAAAGTTCCGAAACTAGGCCTAATGCTGGTAGGCTGGGGTGGTAACAACGGTAGTACCATGACAGCAGCTTTATTGGCGAACAAGCTTAAATTATCGTGGGAGACGAAAGAAGGTCTGAAAACTGCCAACTGGTATGTCTTCCAGAAATTTATTTATATCTTATTATTACCAATATCTTAGCTTGTGTTATTACGTCTATTTCAACTTGGAATTTCGCACATTTTCTATCGTACATTTTCTTCGTGGCATGCGACCTCATTATTTTGTACCATTTCTATTGTGTGCGTTTCTTATTGTGTTCAGGTATGGTTCCCTAACGCAAGCGTCCACGGTGAAATTGGGTAGAAGAATTAAAGGGGAAGATGTTTATGTACCCATCTCTAGCATGCTACCTATGCTGAATCCCAATGACATCGAGATTGATGGCTGGGATATTTCAGATGTAAATCTCGCGGAAGCTATGACGCGTGCCAAAGTGTTGGATGTAAATCTGCAGGTACAGTTGCGGTCCTATATGACTCACATGTGGCCCAAGAAGAGCATATACTATCCCGATTTCATCGCTTCGAACCAGGTAATTTTAATTTCGCTAGAATTTAACAGTGTTGAGGCGAAATTTACGATAGATCCTTAACAATAGATTATTAAAGTTAAGTAATCAATAAAAATTTCTGCATAAAACCTTCGGTTTTCTTACATATAACATGAATTTTCGTCTATCTCCTATATCAGCAATTTTATTGTCTAACAATTTTTTAATTAATCGTAAAATGCAAAATCTAACGTGTGATTTTCGTTATGAAACAAAATTATCATTTTCAGTTTTCTTACGTATAATGTTTCCTACTTCACTTACGCCTGGTCTGCAATGTGCTTTTTGTTTCCTGTTTCTTTCTATTCATCTCTGTTTGTCTCTTGCCTTTTTGATCAAGAAGACAAGAGACAAACAGCAAGAAACAGGAAACAAAAAGCACATTGCAGACCAGGCATTAGATAGCATTAGAACAACTTTATGGAATTTGTTCTTTACTTAAAAATTATATTTGCGCTAAATTTGTTATAATCTTTTAATTTTTTTTTTTTAATATAATTTTGTTATTAATAATTTTAAGGAAATTATTATTGATATTGGCAGAGAGAGAGGGGGGGGATTCACGCGTATTACGTACATATAATTTTTTAAATTTATATTTGTGTGTGTAATTTATATAAAGAAATTCATTATATTGTTGTGGATTCTTATATACATATTTTTCGAAGAGAAAATAAACGAAAAATCATTATAAGTATGCAAGAAAATTAAAGGAAAAAATGTGTCAAAATCTGTAGAGATTAAATAATAAAATTTTAATGTTATTTAAAAAGCTAAATTATATTGTTAGTTTTTCAAGACGGAAAATCATTAAACGGTACCACGTAAGAAAACTGAAGGTGACAACACGTTCAACTGTGAAACAATTAAGAGGTATCAGTAATTTTCAATGTCTTCCATATTTTATAAATATTACTATAAGGATCAAGAAATTACAAAATTATTTTTTATTGTAACATATGTAACATTTTTACGTTTATTTGAAAAGAGTGTATGTATTATATGCATGCGTACACTCAATCAAGAATAAGAATATAAACTTTGTAATTATTCTAAATTGATTAAAAATCGAGTAAAAATGTATCTTTTGTAATTATTAATAAATTTCTGTTTGTGTTTTTATTGACATTTTCTATATTACGTACATTTCTAATAGTAGTAATAATAATAATAATAATGTTATATGATGCAAATGTTTCCTATCTGTGAAATTTTTCTTTTTTTTTTTGTATTTATTAGTGTACTAAAATCTGTACATTTCTTTTATATTAATATTACATATTTTTTTCTCTCCTCCGTGCATACAGTATATGTGTATAAGAATCATATTTATTACATTATGTAACATTGTATATTGCGCTTTTTCTTATCAGTTAAATCACAATTCTCTTTTTACAATAATAAATATTTGCGAAATTTTCTTACGAAGGGCAAAAGAGCAAATAACATCATCATGGGTACCAAGGCCGAGCAACTCAATTTAATTCGCAATGATATAATGCAGTTTAAGACTGCAAAAAGTCTCGATCAAGTTATTGTCTTATGGACCGCAAATACTGAAAGGTTCTCAGAGATCATAACAGGTGTCAACGATACAGCCGACAATCTATTGAAGTCAATCGAGGAAGATCATTCAGAGATCAGTCCCAGCACCATGTTTGCTGTAGCAGCGGCTCTAGAAGGAGTATGACTAAAATTCATATAAAATTCTTTTTTTTACTAATAAAGAAAATGAAGGATACTTGTCCAGATTATTATTTAACAATAGCAATAAAGTTGTTCAATATAAGGCGATTATTTAAAAAAATAGCCAACAGTTATATTTTCTCAAGATTTTACAGATCACTTAGTTAGACGATCACGGTTCAGTAAACCGATTCACTTTAATGATAAAAATGAATAATTTTAATAAACAATATTAAATATTAATGAATAATTTTAACCCTTCGTAGACATACTGAGTCTTTTTTTGTCCGGATAAAATTCACTCGTAAATTTCTTGGCATAAATTTCAGTTTTTATATTAAATAAAACATGTTTAAGTTGAATAACTATTTAACAATGTAACAGAGATGTTGGAAAGTAAACCTGAATTTTTCAAGATTTTTTGACAGTCTAGAACAGTAAAAAAATTTGGCCTGGGCAAAAAAAAAGTGCCTATAGAGTAAGTAAAAGTATGCCTCCGACAGGGTTAATAATGACTAATAATGGGTAATAAAATTGTAATTATTAATTTAGAAGCAGGACAAAATTAGATGTAATTTAAAATTAATTTTTCTCTATGTGTGATGTAAAAGTATTTCTATAAATATGTGTGAATATTATCAAGTAATAGTAATTATTATTAAATATAAATATACACGAGATAATTAATAATACTTGGTCATAATTGAGGATGTGGAATTAAATATACTTAACTACAAACATTTTTCCTTTTACAATTACATATTTCTCTTCCATTCTTATTATATAAACTAATAACAACTGTATGAGTATGTATTCTTCCTCTCTATTTGTATTTATATATTAACAACTGAAAATTGCAATGAGCAGAAATGTGGGCTATTTTGTACATTAAAAAAATTTTTCCAGTGTACCTATATCAACGGATCGCCACAAAACACTTTTGTGCCGGGTGTCCTTGAGTTAGCCAAGAAACAGAAGACATTCGTCGGCGGCGACGACTTCAAGTCCGGTCAAACAAAACTCAAGTCCGTTCTTGTGGATTTTCTCGTATCGGCTGGTATAAAGCCAGTGTCGATTGTCAGCTACAACCATTTAGGGAACAACGATGGATACAATCTATCTGCACCGCAGCAATTTCGCTCAAAAGAGGTATATAATATAAAGAAGAAAATGAAAATGTATGATATATTTGATTTTTATTATACATATGTTTCTCTCTCGCTTTCTCCTCCTTTCTTCCTCCCCCCTCGCCTTTTCTTTTAACTGTAATAGAAATACAAAATCGAAAAATTTAAGAGTTATATTTTTAAGTACTAATCTAAATATTTATATTCACAAAACGTTTCTTGTCAAAATAAGATTATATCTGTCAAAAATACATTGATTGATCAAATGATTATTATTATTATATAATAATTATTTGATTAAATAATTGATTAAATAATCTTATTGGCAAAGAGAAAATCTTATCATAACAATGATTAATAGTGTCATTTTTGTCATTTTTGTTTTACTCTTAAAAACTAGCCTTTTTTAGTTGTATCAATTTTTTAAAATCTATAATATAATATATTATAGGACCGTATATGTGATAACACAAACTATAGAAATCAAAACCTTAAACGGTTTAGCTGGATCTTAATGCTTGTATAATTCTTATGTGAATTTATATACTACGTATGTAGTCCCCAGAAACGCGCGCCGAAATGATTTTTCGGTCTTGAAACGCTAACTCTATTAAACTACCGCAGTAATATCAAGAGTTAAATTGATTGGCAATTTAACAAATTTTAATTTTTTTTTAATCTGTTTTTTTGGGGGGGGGGGTTGTAACGACTTTTTATAAAGTTAGTTTACTTTTGAGAGATTAGAGATTTAATAGGGTAAAATTTACTTTACTCATTCGTGATAATAACTTGAAAATATTTTTTTATTCGTATCACTTTTTTGAAGTAAGGGAACGAGTATATATTATATTTGTGATATATATTATATCACATTTTGATTTATAATTAAAAATTAGAGTATGTATTGTGTATTAAAATATATACGTATTGTACCTTGTACATACATAATCGATCTCACACACAGATCTCCAAGAGTAACGTTGTAGATGATATGGTGGAATCCAACAAGATTCTCTATAAGCCTGGAGAGAAGCCGGACCACTGTATCGTCATCAAATACGTCCCTTACGTCGGTAAGCTTTTATCTTTTACATTGCACTATCTGTAACATCTTTCGTGTAAGTGTAAAAAATTTTTCGAAAAGTTATTTAAAAATGTTACATTTGTACGTATATGCACGTTTATGTATATGCATGTATCAATACCTACATATATGTCTTAAAGCAACGCTTATTTGTAAGAGATAGTTTCAATTATACCGTTTTCTGATGAATGTTTTAAAAATTTGTTAGAATTCTTACAAAATGTTTTAAACGTTTAAAATTCTCAAGTTTCTCAAAAAATGTTGTGAACAATTTCTTGAAAAAGTTGACGATTTTATATTTATGATTCTCACAAAATTTCTCAAAAATTGAGTCTATATTTTTCTCGGATTTTTATAAAAATTTACCTTTATATTTATTTTATATTTCCAGGTGACAGCAAGAGAGCTATGGATGAGTACACTTCTGAAATCATGCTAGGCGGTCACAACACCATCGTAATCCATAATACATGTGAAGATTCGCTTCTTGCGACTCCCATTATTCTCGATCTTGTCATTTTAGCTGAATTATGCTCTCGCATTACCTTTAAGAAAGCGGATACCGATGATGACGAAGAATTCTCTGGCTTCCATAGTATACTTTCTATCTTGTCATATCTCTGCAAAGCCCCACTAGTGCCCTACGGGACTCCGGTGATAAATGCCTTATTTCGACAACGGGCTGCTATCGAAAACATTTTGCGAGCTTGCTTGTCATTGCCACCAGAGGACAACATGTTGCTTGAACACAAAGTCGATTTCAAGATTTAGAGAAAGATGCGATTAGGATAGAAGATAAAGGGTAAGAAATAGAAGAGAAAGAGGAAGGAAATAGAAGGGATATAGAGGACAAAGAAAAGAGTTAAAGAGTGATAATGAAATGTTAGCTCGTTTGTTGTTAAAGGAAAATTGGTAGGTTTTTTTTTATAATTAATTTCCACTCTCTTTGTTATCAAACATCTGATATATGAAAGTACATGTACTATTCATTTCGAAACTATGAAGAGCGAGGAAATGGTTGAATTGAGGACTGATTTTCTAATTTTATTACAAATAATTCAATATGAAAATATAAATTTTGATATGAAAATGGTAATTCCGTCAATATCGACAACACTAACTTGTAATGAACATAAATTTTCGACTATATTTTTGAATACTCAATTATATTAATCGATTACAAAGGACTTTGATTAGAGGAATTTGATTCAAATATTATTGATAAAGTTATTATATTATAGCCAAATTCATTATTCAATATTATTAAATAATGTTAAAATGTTAAGGAAATAAAGTTATTTTTAGTATAAAATCGTTAAGTATCAAAATCATTAACGATATTATCAAATTTTTTTTTCTAATCAAGTTTTTTTTATATTTTGATCGTTTATAATATTTGAGTCTAAATTTATAATCTGTCAATTATTTTTAATCTGTTTACCAAAAACTAGTACATATATATATATACATATATATATATAATATAAATCGATCACATTAATTAATTGCTGTAGATTCAGTTTCGGAAGAAGTATATATTTTGAATAAATATAATTATTAATAAATGTGTGTGCACGTGTATGTGTGTGCGTATGGCATGTATGTGTGTGTAAAGAAAAGATTAAGAATGCAGATATATGATAACGGAGGAAATAAGGAATAACGATGTCAATCTATCGAAAACTATGTATTCCGATGTATTCGATATCTACTAGGTTGAAATCGTACATTATTCCTTCTATTGTGTCTGCATCCTATGAGAATCAAGGATATGTATAGTTTAAATAATAATTGATAAATTATGAATTATTACTAAATTTCGACAAACACATTTTCATTAAACTAATAGTACCGTTCTATATTCGATACTAATAGTATCTTTTTATCTAAAATAAATTTATTTAAAGGAAAAAATTTTCGAATCCCACTCTTTCTTCTCATGATTTATGTGCATCAAAAAGTAGAGATATATATAAGTATATATATATATGTTTCATTGAGTACTCTCGAATAGGATACAATTCCTCAATTGATCAAACAACATCTTATGTCTTATCTTGTGAGTTTCATTAAAAAAAAAATTATTCAAAAGGCTCTATTTTTGTACTGATACATTCCCCTAAAAGAATATATTATTACTATATACGTATTATTATTATTATTATTATTATCGCGGTATACTTTTTTTACTGTGTAATCGTCGATTTATACTAATTGACATAAATAGTTAAATAAAAAGTATAATCTGTTTCATAGCATTTATCAATTAGCGTATAATATATATATGTATGTATAATTTTACGTTGTTATAATTATATATATATATATATATATATATGATCAATATCACATTATCGTCATACGTTATTCTTATAGTAGATATACATATATAAAAATAAATTCGTATTACGCAGAATCTTTCGCAATATTGTATACTAATATTTCCCAATATCCCTTTTTCCAACATTTCAGTGTAGTGTTTTACGACTTATACATAATTCGCAATGTCTATGATACGTTGCATATAATATCCTACTTACAAGTATTTCAGAAATTGATACGAAATACATACTACCTACAATAGTAACATAATAATCATGTATGTACGTACATGTGTGTATTAATTATATTTTTTATTTTTTTTATATCCTACGTATTTTATAAATACATAAAATGTATACGGAAAATTTTTTACGTATATACATATAGATATATACAGATAAATTTGTAGGTATTTTTTACGAATCTGTAAAAAAAGGTTTGTTTTTTTTCTCTGCACTGCTTGCACTAATTCAAGAAGTGTACACTACATCGTTCTTTTTATGTACACTGTAACGGGCTGCTTTCCTTTTAGGAGACACAAACCGACACAGTATGGGTGCTTTCCAGCAAGGACACAATCAAACACAGTGTAACACAGTGAATCGTTTCATCCTTATTTAACGAGCTGTGTCTGACTGTGTCCCTTGCTGGAAAGCACCCTATAACACACTCAAACACAGTGCCACGCTTAAATGGAACGCGATATGTGCAGTGTGTGTATCGTGTGTACCTTTGACTATATACCATGATAAAAATACAAGGGTATGCTCATCAATTGTCTAAAATTCGTTCAGCTTGCGCATGTCCTTGCCTACGTCATATTCGGGTACGCGTTGATTCTGATGGTCGGTTCTGATTCGGGTGCAATCGGTGGTTATCGGTCGTAATTTATCATGGCGTCCATGGCGTAGTGCACGTTGTCATCGGTAGAAGTTAATGTTA